GGATGATGAGTGGCCGTGAGTCCCTGATCTATCCTGCAGATGAAGGACAAGAGGGAGTTTGCGAGAGGGGAGCTATGAGGGCCATCAGGAGGAAGGGTTGGTGATGGCAGGCATGGGCCAAGGGAGAAGAGGCAGTTTCTTGACCTCCGGGAGGGTGGTCCAGAGCCTGGGCATGACACTTTTCCCAAGTTGTTGGGATCGCAACAGCCTGAGGCATTTTCTTCTGTCCACCTGATTCCAGGGGTGGGACTGGTGACTGTGGGCCATGCGTTCCACCCTTGCAAGTGACGCCATTGGTGCCTGTCTTAGGGGGGGATCTGGGCTCCGGAAGCTGAGGTTTTGTCTGGGGAGGAGGTGAGGAAATGGTGTGGCTGCGGTGAGCTCAGGGCTGTCTTTCTGCTGTGTAGGTGTGACCCAGCCATCAGCCCTCCTGTGTCCTGCTCCCCTGCCGAGGAGGAGGCAGCTAACAAGCAGTGTTCAATCCTCACGCATCTGGGTGGCCCGTTCCAGCCATGCCATGCAGTTCTGCCGCCCCAGACCTACTTTGAGAGCTGTGTCTATGACCAGTGTGCCACGGGCAGCAGCACAGAGCAGCTCTGCAATGACCTGGGGGCCTATGCCACAGCCTGTGTGGAGGCAGGGGTTGCCCTGGGAGACTGGAGCGCTGGCACTGTCTGTGGTAAGTCTTCTGTCCATCTCCTTTGATTTCCCTGACTCTCTCCCTGATTCAAGGAATGGGGCAGCTGTGCAGGAGGTTTCTCCACCTGTCACCTCACTGGCCTGGTGTGCGTCCTACAGTTCTTTTGCCATGGTGCGGTGGTGTTTGGGAAGGGTGCAAGATCCCCGTTTGGGAACAAATCCCCTTACAAAACACACCTTCTCCACCTCTGGTTCACTCTCTTTCATTCATCAGCTCCTACACCCTCGCCCCCCTTGCCAGACGTTACAACACGGCCTCCACACACAACAACCTCACCGGCACCTGGGACAAGCACAGGTACGGTTGTCTCCCATCCATGTTTTTTACTGGCTGTGCTAAGCCTTTCCCCTTGGCTGGCCACCCTCACCTGGCCACAGACATACCATGGGTGTATGTGAGTGTACATGAGCATTGTGTGACAGTGGGAAAGGTGGCCCCCACCTTCACTGTAGCACTCTAACACTCATGTTTTACTTAACTGGTCTGGTGCTTGGCTTGCTGCACATCTCCTCTAACTGTCTCTTGCCCTAGGTCCATCAACACCAACACCCATGACTCCCTTGCCAGGCACTACAACGCAGCCTGCCCACACAACATCACCAACAACACCAATACCCAGCTCAGGTACTGTTGTTTCCCATCTTGTTCTCTTACTGGCTCTCAGAACTTTCCTATTTTCTGAATTGAAGTGTCAGAGCTAAGTGATAGAGTTTTTATACTGGAGGATCAGAGTTTTCCTTGCTCCCTCAGTTGCACTTGCATAATATTTCTTAATATTTCTCAGGACTCCTTCTGAGTTCTGACTATGTACACTCTCCTCTAGGTCTCTTTTGCCACAGTGCAAGCTTTTTGGTAAGAGTAGACCAGCCATCTAATAGTTGTCTCACATACTCTTTGTTTCCATGTCCATAAATATTTAAATTACTCTTTTCTATGGCAAGTTTTCACATATTATACAGATGTTATTTTTCGTATATTTTGAAATTTAATTTAGTTTCCAAATTTTATTTTTGGGGTGTGATATAAGCCAATTGTATTTCCCTGTCAAAGTCTGATTCAGTGCAATTAGTGTTAGTTTAATATTTAGGATATATACTAAAATACCCTTTGATAAATTTTAATTGTTTCTTTCCTCCAATTTTAAGCACTTATATCTGCATATGTCAGCTTGTTAAATACAAGAGAGTCCTAGCTCACCTAATCAGTTTAGATTTCTTCTGCTTTTTTTTGGTAACTGTTAAGTATGTCATTCTGGGACCATTAATACTTTCTGTGTAAGGAGTTAAGCTTCACATGTAGACAACAACCATAAGTGTAGCTACATTTTAACATGCCATTGAAAAAGAAAGAGGAAAGGATCTCTTTCTTTATCTTTTTTTATTATTGGGAAGCACCATGAAGAACCTTCAATCTCAACTCTGTTAAGAGTTGATGGGAATTTTTTTTCTTCAAAATGGGAATTTCTTATTAACATTCAAAATCTTCTCCACGTTACACAGTTCGATGAACGCACAGTGTACTTCCATTTGTACATATTATCACTGGCTAGTTAACTTTGATATTTTTTAAAAATGTGTAAAGGGTATCTTGTGTATGCAATGTTCAATATAAGTTCCATTAATTATGTGAGTACAGAAACCTAGACAGCTGGTAGTGCAGCTATTCTGGCTAACCAACATTGTAAAGATGTTATGGAAATTCTTCCTATTTAGTTAGAAATAGCCTTTCAGATATCGACACTAAAAACTCACTGCTACAGTTTGTATAATGATGTCTTAACAGCAGTGCCTTTTTTCCTTTCATATCAAAGCCTTTTGCTCACATTTGTTCCTCAACCTCTAGCATAGATTTCTGATACACGAGTACAGGTTTTTTAATGGGTCCAAAGATAGAAGACTGGGTTGGCCTTTGGAGTGCTGTTGCTGTCAATATTATATCAGAGCAGCAAATACAAAGTAAAACAAAGTGGAAACCAAGCAACTGCAAAAATCTGATGAAGGTTTGGAGGGAATTAGTCTGTCTTTTTGTCTTCACAGACCGTGCTTCCTGCAGTGCCTCTGGAGATCCACATTATAACACTTTTGACCACAGAGTCCATAATTTCATGGGAAATTGCACTTACACCCTCTCCAAAGTGTGCAATGTCTCTGAGAAGCTTCCATACTTCGATGTGTCCACAACAAATGAGCACAGAGGAGCCAACACCAAAGTCTCTTATGTGAAGTCAGTGCAAGTAGAAGTCTATGACAACCAGATTTCTCTACTGAAAAACAAGAAAGTGAATGTAAGAAAATACTTGATTAAAAGAGATATATAACATATTTTTAACTGACATGCCAATAATAAAATATTTCCTCTGTAGAGTTTATAGGACACTTTCTCTTTTTATTAATGACATGTACCTCTTTTAATGAGATCTCCAACAAACTTGCTCAGATTAAATGTTCTTTAATTATTTCCAGTTGCTTTGTGCACAAGATCATATCTTTCAGTAATCTGTACTAGCTGCTGGTAGTTGTAGGAGTCCCAGCAGTCATGCACTAACTTTTACAATTTGCTGTACAGGTGAATGGTCGCAGAATGAACCTGCCTGTATTTATTGAGAAGAAAATCAGTGTTCAAAGCAGTGGTGGATATGTTCTCTTGGAAACTGACTTTGGACTGTGGGTGAGATATGATGGAAACCACTATGCAGAAGTCTCCGTGCCCTCTAATTACAGTCATCTGCTCTGTGGCCTCTGTGGTAAGTTGTAGGCTTAGTCATTTTTTAGTGAGTTGTGGAGGCCAGTGATTACTTCAGCCTTTTTTTTTTTTAGGATGTCTTACTTGTTCTACACAAAACTGGTCCCTGTCAAATGGACTAGAATTTACAGCACTGAAAAAAACTTGCTAGACTTTTTCAGTTTCTAAGAGGAACTTTAAAATTTGCTGGTAACATGCTATCCATTTGGAATGTTGTGAGGTATAATTAAAAATAACATTTTTAGCCAAATAAAAAAGCTGCCTTAAGTTCTACAGTTTAAAATTAAGGAGAGTCATTTTTTGCATGGAGCTATTAAAGAATTCTACAAATACATTTTTATGTTATTTACATTCTGATGTATTTGTCTTTTGTTCAGTGTGGAAATGATACACCATTTCATTCTGTGAATTATAAAAACCTGAGGCTGTTTGCACAGCAGAGAGAAATCTTTAATAGCTTACTGTCAGCATCCTCAAGTTTTCCTGCTTCTCTTTTTCTGTGCTCTTAGAAGGCATTTATGCAACCTGAATGATCATGTTTAAACAATCAAAAGAATGAGAAAAGAGGAAAAAGAAGAAATATTAGACTACTACATTTCTGATTATTCTTTGGTTTGGATCATCTAGAACTTCCTATTATCTTCCTAGTTCTATTATCTCTCCATGGGTTTTTCACGCTTTCAATGCAGGAAATCTACCTAAGAATATAGTGGTGCAAATAGCACTGTGTAATTTTTAGTCCAACATTCTACACGTAGGAAACAAGAAAATTAGTTGGGATTTTTTTTTTTAAGCTAAGAAGTTCTTTCTTGGATGCAATGTAATCTGGTTACACAGGAGTTTGCAGACTTCCTGCTTCAAGTCCACAAGTGTCTGAACAGCAGCTCAGTCAAAGCCTAAAACACAATTCTGCTCTTCTTATTTTGCCCAGTACACACTGTTGTTGCAGATTACTCTGCCTATAATATTTTACTTTATTTTACAGCCTGAAACCTAGTATTGTTCTACAGGTTTGAACTTCATGTTTTCCATAAATCTCCTTTTACCTTCACAGGTAATTATAATGGTGATCCAAATGATGACAATATAAAACCCAATGGTGATATTGCCAGTGGTTCTGCTGATCTTGGAGAAAGCTGGCTTGTGCCTGAGAATAACACCATGTATGTATAATAATTTAATCACATGGCATTTGTTAACCAAACTCTTTAAAATCAAATAGCCATCCACTTGCTTGCTGGCTTTATCATCCGGTACCATTCCACATCTTCCAACTGCCCATTAGAAGTAGGGAGCTGTACCTTTATGTAAACCAGAGAATGATAAGAGGGTTATGTCCTTTAAGTCTTGTTTTCCAAAGCAGGAATTGTCTGTTGAGTGTGAGGGAGGATGGGACTTTAGTCCAGTTCCCTAACTGGAAACCATAACTGTTTGGATTCCATAACTGTTTTTTTTTCAGCTAAGAATAAGCCTTTGAATAGCCCAGAAGGGATCAAAAAAATGAGCCCATTCACTGAGAGGGCTGACATCAGCTTTTCAAAGAAGCTGGATAAAGTCTTGTGACTGACATAAAGTACAGTCTGTTGTGCAGGGTTGTCATGTGTCAATCTTACACTGAAAATCTTATAGTAAATGATGAGAAACACACATTTGATTCTGCTTGCTTTCCCCAGATGCTCCAGTGGTGGGATAGAAGAGCAGTGTGATCCTGTGTTGGACAGTGAAGCAAAGAAGAACACAGCATGTGGCATGATCACAGACCCAACAGGTAATATGCTGGTAGTTTTCTGTGAGCCATATGATGGAACATGTTACAGTTTGTCTTGTCCCTTCTTTATAGTCTGTTTTCCTGAGCTCACACTGGAAGCATATAAAACCTCCAGTGTAAATGGCCAATGTAAAACTCATAGGTGCTTGGTCAGGATATGTCATCTGTTCAGACAGTGCCCATGTGTCCATGAAGGTTATCTCAGGACATGTTCAGGGAGCTGCTCTTTTCTTTACAGTGACTTGCACTCTGCTTGCTAAAAGAGTAGTTCAGAGGGCACTGTCAGTGTATGTATTACAGATACTTTAACTAAAATTCTGTACATGTTCCTTGCATTGGACAGTCCCTGTAGTTGTCTAGAATTAGTGGTTTTCCTAGGCAGCAACACTTAGTTTATGTAAGCTATGTAGTATCAATCTTGCAAAAAGAAGAAAACCTGATCCAGAGGGCTCACTCTGATTCTGCCTTGTGCATCCATTTCAAGTGCTGGTTTAATTTACTAAACAAAGTTAGCCTGGAGCACTCACAATACATTTGCTGTGACAGAAAATAGATGGTGGTTATGATCTTAGCATTCCAGTTGTTTTTTGCTATCCTTCTATATATCTTTTTTGATTTACACAGGAATCTTCAAGGACTGTCATACCAAAGTGCCTCCAGAGAATTTCTTTGAAAATTGTGTTTATGACATGTGTTTCACTGGTGGACAGGCAATATCCCTGTGCTACGGACTACAGGCCTATGCTGAGTCATGTATCAATGCTGGCATATGCATAGAGTGGAGGAATGCTACTCTTTGCCGTGAGTGTTGTGATATAAACATCTATTCTGGATTTTAACTTCATTGTCCTCTACCCTCTTCATGCACGTTATTTCATTTTATGTAATGTTCTGAGTACGGACAAGATAAAAGAGAATCATATGTAGTGATTTATCACAGAATCTAGCCAGAAACAATTTTTCTGTGTTTTTTTAGATGACAGAAACAGAGAAATGCTTCTAGATTTCTGTAAATTGTAATGTTATCCCTGGGGACAATGCTTTGAGTGATAGAAACCCAATTCTACCATGAGCAGCAGGGGTGTGAAAATATAATATATTTTCTTCAAGTGTTCTCAGTGAAAGACAGTGTCATTTTTAGTTCTATTTTAAAATACATGGCAGATGTTCAAATAGTAACAACAGTAATGGGGACATATCAGCTGGTATGGGTAGAGATTTTTCTATTCCCTTAATGGAGTGACTTTCTGCCTTCAAACCAGCAGAAAAAGGTTTACTGAACCAAACACAATTGATCGTTGTGTATGATGACATCAGACCTATCCTTGTCACGGGCCTGCCTCACTTTGTTGCGAGGTGAAGTGCAAGGATGGCCCACGTGTCTTGCCCACCTTTATCGAAAGCCACCCATCTCACACAGAAAGAGAATCCTTTGTACGCAGCACTGTCCTGTGTCAGGCTTTCTAACAGCAATTTTGTGTATTTTCAGGAGCAAACAGTGAAAGCATCAGGAAAACTTTTGCCACAATTTTGCCCTTTAGAGTGATCTTTTTTTTCTCTTTATCTAGCAATGTCCTGTCCTGGAGGCAGCATCTACAAGAGCTGTGGTACTAGGTGTCCCTCTACCTGTTTGAACATCTCAGCAGCTGATTCCTGCAGTTCTTTACCAGTGGAAGGTTGCTTCTGTAAGGAAGGTTATGTTTTGAGTGGAGACAAATGTGTGCCGGAAAGCAGCTGTGGTTGTGTTGATGAAAAGAACCAGTATCACCAGGCAAGTTACCTCAGGCATTTAAGTAAATAAATAAATAAAGTAAAAAAAGGTGGAGGGGGAGAATCTCATTCCTTATCACTGTGAGAGAAAAAGCATGTTAATAACACTACACAATTAATATTTACACCACTAATAATTCCAACATAGAATTACTTTGCCAGTCTTCTTGATACATGAGCTGCGTGGCTACAATTGCCCAAATGATCACATATCATGCACATTCAAATACTGATAATTTTATTTCCTTACAGTTTTACATTCTTATTTATCTTATAGTATATAATTCTACACACTTTTTTCCACTCAGCTGGATGAAAGCTGGTTCACCCATTATCCCTGCACTGAACGCTGCACCTGCAAGGCTAATAACACCATTGAATGCACATCCTGGGAGTGTGGAGTCCAAGAGGAATGCAGCATTCAGGATGGTGTGCTGGGCTGTCATTCCAATGGTAAGTCCTGCCTGAAAATCATTCCAATATCAATTCTGTAATTAGATCCTTTTCTCCTTCTAACTTCATTATAAATGTCTCTTCCCACGTGATAGTAAAGAAGTCCCAACTGACTGCTGCCATTGCTAAGAGTTGGAAATATGATGTTCTGTCTTGCAAGCACAAAGGCCCTTCCTTTGTAGTGAATATCAGCAAAAACTGATGATGCCCAAAAGTTTGCAAGGTCACTTGGGTTCTGTTTGTCCTGATAATGAAAATTCATGTCCCACATCACCAGTACTGCAAGCTATAAATTTGAGAATAATTGAGAATTGCATTTCTGTGGGTCTGGGTTATGATGAGTGCACTATATATTGATATATACAGATGCAATTTTATTTACTTTTACACCCATATTTATACAGATAATTCTATATCTTTGCATAGATAATTAGAAAAGCTCTGTATTACTCTCAAATACCATAAATTGTAGCTGCAACAGCATATAGAAATATATACAAAAGTTCATTTGATGCCAGTTTGTCATTTTGTATGTAATTTGCAAATTAAATTTAGGAGGTGCTCTCTAGAAATTTCTTACTTTCAAATAAATGTCATTGGCATGAACCTGAGATGCCTCTGTGAAAGTTTGCTCACATAATATTTATCAGGATTAGGTTGTTACACTTATGCAAACTCCTTTATCAGCTGACTCCATGACTAAGTCCAGTACAAAGTTCTTAGATATTTTTTTTCATATTCAGGTCAAGCAACATGTCAAGTGGTAGGAGATCCCCATTATTTCACTTTTGATGGAATGAAGTACACTTTCATGGGAACCTGCACCTACACTTTGGTTGAGGTTGACAACACTTCCACCAATGTCATTCCTATAACCATACTGGGCAAGAATGAAGACAGAGGACTGAGAGGGGCCACATACCTGAAAGAAGTCTATATAGATGTGCATGATGTACGAATCACCCTTCAGAAAAACCAAGGAATCCTGGTAGGTGGTGGTGCTCTTTACTCTGGCAAAAAGTATCTTAAAATTAGCTCACTTACAGTAGCTGTAGGAAAAAGGATCTTCATGTTTCCTAAGGAATATGTACGCATATGCTTAATACTTGTGGGCACCTCCATTAAGTGGATATCATGAGCAGATATAATTTCTCAGTAGTTCCCAAGGCTTCTGGTTTGGGTTTACTGTTTTATTGGTCATATCTTTGAGATGGAGCCCAGAGCCTCCAGATTGGAGAACTGTTGCTTGAATTAAAGTATGGGACTCCCCACTTCAACAGTTCTTGTCAAGCCAATCACCTATAGTGAGCTAACAAGAGCAGAGGAAAGGCAAGTCATATTTTATCAGTTTAGAATAACATGGGGATCCATGGCAGTACTGGAGGCAGGGAGTCTACCCTAAGGGTGAGTAAGAGCTTGCTCACTACCAGTGATCTTTTCAGCTCCCTGTTAAAGGCACAGGATATGAGTCCTGCCCATCTCTCCTCAGCTAAAGGGCTTATTCCTGCAACCCATAGTTGGAATATGCAATGGTGGAACTGTAAACAGCTAAAACTGTCACATAGAAATCTTCAGCACTGCTAGAACTATAGCCTGTGAGCAGAAAAGCTTTCATGGAACAATGTCCATACTGACAAAATGACATGTCTCTCCAGCTGAACAATGAGAGAGTTTACACTCCAGTGGAGAACCGACTGCAAGGCGTGTCCATTGGAAATGTTGGCAGATTTATAGTTGTGGAAACTGACTTTGGTGTGATAGTGAAATATGACGGCAATCACCATCTGGAAATCACCCTCCCACAATCTTATTTCTCACAGGTAAGATTTAGTGTGCAAACATCTGGCTCTTCAAAACTACTGCTTTCTGCATTTACTTCTAATTCCTTTTATTCTTGCGTTTTGCTGTTGCATCTTTCTTTGTAGTTGTATTGTAACACATGACAATTTTTTCCTTTCTATTTTTTTCTCTTCACAACAATTTCCTTGTGTTCAGAGGGAGTAGTTAAAGAAAATTACCTGGCTAGCGGAATACATCTAACTTAGAGAAATAAACACCTTCAAGCCTTAGGGAATCACAGATTTACTGCAATATCTTCATAGGTGCAGTTGGAATGGCTAAAATGTCTAGTACAAGATTGGTGGTTGATTTGGTCACATTATTTCATAGGCAATGAATAAGAAGTTATTGGGGAAGTTGATGTGAACAGGTCATGCTTAGAATATGGTTCTTTTTTTGTTTGCAGGTGCATGGCATGTGTGGTAATCTCAATGATAATCGTGAAGATGATCTGTCCTTGCCCAATGGAACAGTCGTCAGTGCCACACAGTTTGGAAATAGCTGGAAAGTGGAGGAAGACAGTGATAAGGGGTAAATATTAATGTCTTTTCATACCTTCCATCTCGCTTCAGAAAACAGTCAATTGTTTTCAGTTGTTTTGACTGTCTGCTACTTTGTAACATGTAAGCAGCGTGTGTGAGACTTTTCTCTTCTTGAATTTGAAGCCCAAAGAAAGGCCATCCCCATAGGAAACCACTGCACAGGCCAGAGGGAACCCACAGCCGTTCTATCAATTGACATACACACTTGGGGAATTAGTCTTTGGGGCACTCCACAGTGTGTACACAGCCTCTGTCTATTTTACACTGATAACACCCAAAGCCAGATGATGGTGCTGAGGAATGGTGAGGGCCAGCTGCTCCCTAGGGGGCAGGAAGTCATATTTGATGATAAAGCTGAGAAAACAGTGGCCTCAGGCCCACAGTGGAAGCTGGAGACAGCCTGGCTCAGTCCAGATCACCACACAAATTTGCAGTGATGAGACAGATCCAAGATCAAGCTGTGCGCCAATCCTCTAGTCAGGGTCAAGTTTAGTGAGAGTAACAAGTGTCAGACACAGCATGGTGGTTGTCAGGCAGGTCTAATTCTGCCTAGTCTTTCACTCAGGCAGAAGGAAGACTGTAGTCTCTAGCCTTTTCTACCTCACAGTAGAAAAAACTTTTCAATTTTCATGTCTTCAGCATGCCTTTGGAATTTAGATGCCTGTGTCTGTGCCTTCTTGCAGTTGTTTACCAGACTTAAGAGAAGATGATAATCCCCCTTGCACTGCTGAGAATAAACAAGTCATTGAAAGCCAGTGTAATGTCCTAAAATCAGACAAATTCAAGGTATGCCATAATCTAGTCAACCCTGAAGACTTTGTAGAGATCTGCATCTATGATATGTGCCAGTATGATGGCATGAAGTCTGCTCTCTGCGACATAGTTCAAGCCTATGTGGAGACCTGCAAGAACCATGGAATCACCATTAAATGGAGGAATAACACATTCTGTCGTAAGTGCACAAGCAAGGGAAAAAACTGAAACTTGGGTGACTGATAGTATGAAAACAAATAAGCAGAATTATGTGAACAAGTTATGTTAAAGGAAAATAAGTCCAAATTCTCACAAAACACAATTCTACTATTATGATTCCATTGCTGTGCTGAATTGTGTTCAGGTTCATATAAACCCAGTGATAACTCAGGTCTAGGCAAGCTATGGATACTAATGTGGAGTTAGAATGGTTTTAGTAGCCACATGAGTGCCATAAGATATTGCAGTGAGCCTAAAATGGAGAAATAATAGAACCAGAAGACTAAAAGAAAGTTGGATACTGTGATAGGACACAGGGCTCAATGACACTCACTGTGATTTGAATGAAAACTGTCAGTTTACACCGGTTGTCTATTACAGGCCATATTCTCGGATTAATTTCCAGGGTATGTGCTTCACTTCACCAATTCAACAAAGCTACAAACTAATTATGCAAAAATAAATAAAGATCAGGTAGTGGGAGGGTTATTTGTGGGGGATTTTTCACAATTTAGTATCATATTGTGGGATTATCACATAATGTTGTGGAGGACAAAACAATTAACTGGTTAAAAAACAAGCCAGATGAATGTTGAATAGGTCTATCAGAAATCCCTAGTTGCCTCTTTGCCACAAGTAGAGGAAAATACTGGACTAACAAACCTTTTGTCATGTTAGCCTGTTTCTTGAACTGTCCCCTTATGCGTCTCTAGTCACTGGCAGAAATGTGGTATGGAGCTGGATGAATCTGCAGTCTGAAAGTGCAGTGCGTATCTTGCATGTGTTTATGTTTGTGGTTGAGCTAAATTTACACCTGGTTTGCATCAATGGAGGGTGGAACATTCTAAGATATTTGCCCTTAAGATTCACATTTCCAGCAGTACCCAAAGAGGCATTTGCAGCATAACTGGAACACTGAACCTGAATGATCTAGTGCCAGGTGCCACCAGTTCAGGCATACCATGCAGTAATAAAACTGCATGAGCAGCTCTGGAAAGGGTTCTTTGCTTTGTTTTGGTTTGTTTGAGGTTTTTTAAGTAAAATACAAAAATAAAAATTGGTTGATCATCAAAATCAGCTATTAAAAGGTATCTCCATACTACCATTTCATAGGCCAATGTGTAGCTTTCAGTGTTTGCAGTGCACTTTGTTGATGTATTTAATAACGCTGCTCCTGTTCTCCCACACAGCATTGCCCTGCCCATCCCGGAGCCATTACAAAGACTGTGTCTCCGCCTGCCCATCAACATGCAATGACATTTTTGCCTCTTCCCTTTGTGACAAGACAGAAGAGTGTACAGAGGGCTGTGAGTGTGATGATAATTATGTGCTCAGTAATGGCAACTGTGTACCTCTGAGCAGTTGTGGCTGCAGGGATGATGACAACAATTACTACAGTGTAAGTAGTTTGTCTGTGGAGCAAATCTGTGGCTTCAAAATCTGTGGCTTTTCTGCAGAAAGTTGGTCTCCTGACAATCTTAATATGAGAAAGAGAGAGAAAGATCAGTCTTCAGGGTCTACCTCTTAAATACCTCTCATCTGATGAGTAAAAGCTTCAGGCTTGGCTATTAGGAGATGCAGAAGCTTGCTTTGTACTTTGCACCTGAGGCCAAAACTCAGGTGCATTTGAAAACAGTCAATTGATCAGAGATATGCAGGCAGTCTCTCCTATCCTGCTTTGTGCTCAAATTCTCATGTCAAAGACAATAAGATAAATGGACTGAGATCCCCACTCCCACACTCTTGGTGAGACTACGCTTGGATTAAGCCTTTGTGGAATCACCAACTGGACAGGCTGCACCTAACCTGTCCCCACACCCTTAGCTATTGAACTATTATTGCATTGCAAAGCTGAACACCTTGATAACATCTTATCACCATAACTTGTGTTTAGGCTGGGGAGACATGGATAACTCCACACTGCGCCAGAAGATGCCAGTGTCAGAAGAACGGTGTCATCAGTTGTAACAGCTATAGCTGTGATTCTAGAGAAACCTGTGTGATCCAAAATGGAAAACACAAGTGCCAGCCAACAGGTACGTGCAAGCAAGTCTTCATTTGATGTTTCATGAGGGTTGAAGAAGAAGGGAGAATGTGTGTGTCCATTCTTTCTTCCATGGCAACTCCAGACTTTCAAGGGGAAAGAAGGAAACTCGGACAGTTATTGATGACACATTATTGAATATAAAAAGCCTCAGTTCTCATAATAAAAGGTTCCAGCTCCAAACAGAGAATTTGTAGAGGGAAATGGGTACTTGGGTATGAAAATTTACTTATATCTAGAAATCTAGTTCGATCTGACTAGTTTAAATAAATTAATAAATTTACAAAAAAATTCACTGCATGTTGATTTGAGAACAGAAAAAAAAATCAATAAACAAAATCCAAGACAGAGCAGATCTGAACAGATACATAATAGGCCAGTCAGAGAACTTTGTACTTTTGTTCAATAGTGCTTTGGCTAAGCAAAGTTAATTCCATATTCTCTAGGTATGTTGCGTTGTTTGGGAGACAGCTTATTGCCTAGTGCCTCTGCACTTCAGTTTTGAAGAATAGTATGTCATCAATCATAGTGTATTGAGTATCAGTACAAAAGCATAATGCAAATCCAGTGTCCTCCTGCTACATTTTGGCAAAATACTAGAGCAGAGGCACCCAGCAGTCTTAAGGATAGCCTTGCTCCTGGTATAATGGTTTACTCTGCGCTCAGTGGTCAAGGAGAACACAGAGATGATAGTCACTGCATCTGATTGTTGGGTCTGGTGAACCCAATCATCCATTTTAGTAACCTCAGAGGAAATCAGTGACAGCAGTGAGCAAGCCAAAGTTAGACATTGCTTTTCAATTTTGTAGCAATGCACGGTTGAGGTTTATGAAATCGACATCTCTAAGAGCCCACTGCAAGCCATGCTGTGTGGCAACAGAGGGCCAATATGCACAACTTAGTCTATATAATGTCTATAAACTCTAATGTTCTGCTTCAGCTCATCTGGCTCACACTGGTTCTCAGCAGAGGAATGAGTTTTTCTGTCCATCTCTCTATTTCAGTGTTCATTCACTAGGGTGATGCCTGAGCACCCACCTTCACTTTCAGACCTGCATGCTAGCAGCAATAATTTTTACCTACCATTTTGAACCAATCCGTGCACGGGATCTGACACACGCACATTTAAACTGGAGAGTAATGAAACTCTTCCTTTTTAGGTTTTGGAAGATGCCAGATCCTGGGCGACCCACACTACATCACCTTCGACGGTCTGGTGCACCACTTCCAGGGGAAATACACATATATTTTGGCTCAGACCATCCCTGACCTACCTGATACTCTCACGCCGTTCAGCATTGAAGGCATTAACTCTCCTTTACTCCTATTTCGACACATTACCTACCTGAAAGAGATTCTCATCAATGTTTACAACCACACAGTGCGATTCAGGCAGAACAAGCAGGTTCTGGTAAGTTTCTCCCTGACTGCAGAGCATGGAGAAAGACTCTGCCTTGGAGTAAAACACCTCTGGGTAATAAATGTTTGTTTTGAAGAATTAAAGTACTAAAGTACTAAACTGTATTATTACAGCAGTGCTATGAGACAACCACAAATGAGATTTTCAGTTGTGTTGAGTCTTTTTGCTCCATAGCTATGAAGGATATGATTCTACTTCAAACAAATAAATGTATAAATAGAGTTTTGGGAATAAAACACCAAATATCCCAAGGCTTAAAATAAAGCCACACAAATTTTTATCAGTGGTAGGGAAAAGTGTGAATTATGCTAGGATAATTTAATTTCCTTCCCTTTTATTGGTGTGTAAGAATATACATAGCCCCTATATTCACTTTAGTTCAAGAACAGAAATCTCTTATGATGATATGAAAGTACTGTGTCCAGATCACTTTCCTCAATATATGATTTTGTTAACTTTAAAAAATTAAATACTGAGTTTTTTACTGGTTAAATTATCTGAGACATTTATCATGAAAAGCAAGAAATGTTGATATGTAGCATTGACCTGTACTGAAGCCAGATTTTAATTTGGCCTAGATATAATGAATTTTAATTTATTTCCCTGTTAGTTGGATGGTGTCCGTGTGAGACCCCCTCTTCGACCTCATGAAGGTATTCATATATATCAGAGGATAACAAGAATTTACCTAGAGACAGATTTTGGCTTATATGTGAGCTTTGATGGCAATGAAAATGCAGGTAAGTGATACTAAAAAAATGTGCTGAAATATTTATGCACTGTCTCAAAAAATGTTGTCATTCCAAAGTTAATCCTGATTTTCAACAGCATATAGCTATTTTATTTCTAAGTGTATGGTGAAAGGGCCAGGCAATTTATTTACATGACCCTCATTCGCAACCCTAAAATTCCAATTGCAGAAAGAAACAGTCTGCTTGTAGGAATTCTGTTTCTCAGTGGTCAAGTGGATTGTCAGTGCAGGGCAAAAAGTGGGTGATGCATTCAGTTTGTTGCAAAGCAGTAAGCAACATGCACTAAGAGCATTTGGGCAATGATGTTGTGCTATATAATAACATATTATAAAAAATTACTGCAAGAAATTCTTTTTTTCATGATCCATGTTGCAGAGCACAGAAACAGTCCTGTGATTACATGTATGAACATGTATGTTCAGGGCTGTGCTCACATGCTACATGTGAAGCCAATGTCATGTTACGAACTTCAATCTGAGTCATAAAATGTGGCACTTGGCATTGTTTTCCACCTCTTCCTACACTCAGAGACAACGATTTCTGTATAACAGCTTTTTTTTTTCTTCTGACCTTCCCTAGATATAAAGCTGGCCAACACCTACGGAAGCAGAGTGGAAGGCTTGTGTGGTGACTTTGATGGGAGATACAGAAATGACTTCACAAATCCAGACGGTGTTTGGGTGAAGAACGTGAATGTATTCGGTGAAAGTTGGAAAGTTCCTTTAAAAAGAAGCTCTCGTTTCAGGTACTTGATTTTCTACTTAATATCCATGGCAAGTACTGCCTCTAGAAGTGAGTGAATTAAGCCATAGTTAACCTCCAGGAATAATTACACTGTCTTATTTCTGGTTTTATTTCTTCCCTTTGTTTGCGTGTAGGGACTGTTCCTGCTCATCACTAAGGTGAGCTATCAGTGCCCTTCTATCTAGCCAAAAGAGGCCTGAATTACTGCATTACTGTGGTTCAGTATCCCTCTTTGGAGTCCCAGCCATTACAACTGCTGGGGCAGAGGAATAAAAAACATCTTTGCCAAGCTCACGGTTGCTGGCAAAAATAAGTACATGCTATACCAGATGGGCCTGAGCAAGTGTAAATCCTGATTTAATGTCAGTCCTTCCCCTGGAACAGGGGTTTATTTCAGCTGTATCCTTCTGACTAGTGTTCCAATTTTGTTGAATAGATTGGATGAAGGAGGCGTTCTGTGTCATGCAGAATTTCCAAAGAGAGAACTACAGACATCCCTTTTAATTTAAATACCATAAATCTCTGAGATCGTAGGAAGTGTTCCAGCATGTCTTTGATTTGCTACATCTATGTCCTTCCCATTCAGGATAAATCATGAGAGATAAATAAGCTTACATTTACACTCTGAGGCAGAAGTATTCCTGCAGTGTTACTTAGAGACTAGTACCATGAATGCTGGATGTACACAGACCACTGATGGTTTCATAATGACTTCATTTATAGACGAGATGTCAACTCAGGAAATGAGTCTGCGGAGGAGCCAGATCCAGGGCTTTTCCAAGGTTGCAACGAAAATCAGCTGGAGCAGCAAAATGCAACTTCAAGATGCCAAATCCTGACTGACTTGAATGGTCCTTTTGCAAAGTGTCATTCCACAGTCCTACCGGATTTCTATTTCACGTAAGTGTTTACTGCAGACAGTTGTTCTCCCCATTTGCAAAATCATTTTGGTGATAGTTTCTGACAAGAACTTTGCATCTTCAGTCTCCAGGGCATTAATAGGAGCTGAGGATAATAAGTGTCTTTGGGCCCAGTGATTCCATTATTGACATATTTACATCCCCTTATTTATTTTTACATAAATGTGATGGCCTTTCTTTCATCTATTTAGAGTTTACTTCTCTCTTAGCTATATATATATATATATATATATATATTTGCACACAGATAAAGCAGCAGTGTTAAGCATTATACCTGTAGCCTGGGATTTCCAGTGTGCTTACAGTTCTCATCTACATTCAGTGAGAATTTAGCACCTAGGTCTATTGGCTTCCTTTAAGCAATTCTAGCTTCATAAAATCTATATCATGCTGTAGCCAAAAGCTGAAGCTGTCAGTGATGCTTCTTGAATTTTTCATGGAGAAGTACAAAAATCAGAGTAGTGAAGAGTAACTAACCCGGTATCTTTAAGAAAGTTCCCTCTGCTGTGTTTCAGGGTTGCTCTGCCTCCTACCTATACAATTCCTACATACTAAATTTTCAGCTGTATTCATCCCCACATTCATCATTCATCCATCATTAGTCACAAATATGCCAAGTAGCTGCCAGTTTTCTTTAGTTACATGCTTGTACCTAGTGTTTAGAGACAGACAATGCCCATCTCTTATCTGTGAGAAGAATGTTACAGTATCTTAAGCCAAATAAAGTGGATCTCTGTATATATGCTGATTCTTAACATAACTTTTCTCCTCACTCTAGAATTTGGTTGGGCAGCCTGTTCTACCTGCCTAGCGGTGCCCTGATCTTACCGAGGCACTGCATATTTTCAGATTCCATCCATCTTGGATCTCAGTGCCTCTGAAAATCAGGCCACAGATATTCAAATGATGAGCAAAACTGAGAAAGTAGCACTGGCAAACAAACACTGGGTAAAACAGCACTCTGTGCTGTTAAGGCACGTGGACATTTGGAGGGTACCCATGTATTGAAAGAAGTGTGTAGGCCAGCTATAAGACTTAGCAGTGCTAAAAAGTGCTCTACAAGCAAGATGTAGCTCAAAACAGAAGCAGATAGCAAAGACTAACTGATTATGCTAAGTCAGGTAACAGTTTATTGCTCGTTCCAAGGGAGGTCTAGATTGCACATCAGGAAAATTTTTAATTTGGGGACACGGTTTAGTGGTGGACCTGGCATTGTTAGGTTAAAGGTTGGACCTGATGATCTTAGAGGTCTTTTCTAGGCTTAATGATCCATGATTCTATATGAACACCTCACATATTAGCAGCAGCTGCACAACAAATGACCTGATCTTCCAATTATGTGTCTGGGGTGCTTTTTATTCCTCTGTTTCCTATCAGGCAGATACTGGAACACAGAACTAACTCAAAGTAAGGCAGAAAAGCAGATGAAAATAAGCAATAACAAATGTACTGGAAATTAATGTTTTCTCATGTTGCACATAGGAGCTGCCTGTTTGATATGTGTGTGGAAGGAGATGAGGTCACTACCTTGTGTCGCAGTCTGGAGGAATATGTGCTGGCCTGTCAGCAGCAAGGAGTCAGTATGGATGGCTGGAGACAACAGACAGTTTGTGGTAAGCATGGGAAGAAATGGGAAGTATGGATTCTGCCTACAGGACTCTCAAAAGGCTTTTCCTAGACATGCCATGTATCAAAACTTCTCAGGGAGTAAAAACATGTTGATTCTCATTTTGCTCAGTCTTCACAGTTTAACATGCACATTTGCCTTTCTGGCCTCTCTTCTGTGTCCTATGCTCACTTTCATATTTAGCCTCCAGCTTACAAAGACACTTTGGAAATCAGAGCTGTCAGCTCCCTGTCATCAGAAGTTCTGCAAGAGAAAAAATGTCCCCCATCCCAATGGGACAAAATAAAAAAAAAAAAATTTTGGAGACCACCACAAGCTAGAAGTCTGAAGGAAAAAACAATTAATTTCAATCTCCTTTAAAATCTACAAAATATACTACCTTTTTTGCCTGTGAAATTTCAAGATAAAAAAAAAGATTCAACTGAAAACACTAAATTTTTCAGACTAAAAAATGCTGAAATAAAATTTATAATCATCTCAAACTTTTTTTTTACTAATTTTTTTGGAGGTCGGAGATTAATCAAACCATATTTTCCCTGTGTTTCCTATGACTCTGTATTCCTGGTGAAACACAGTTCCTAAAGTTGTGAAACAGGTCTGGCACTTGCAAGGATGGCTACCCTAAAAGTGTGGGAAGCTGTTTTGAGATCAGTGTATATCAGAAATGAGAGCTCATTATACAAGTAGCTTAGATGATGCATTTCCTGACTTTGGAGCGCTTTACTTACAACTTCAGCACTATTATATACATATGAACATCTCTGTGTATGTATGTTCATCATATGGCCTCCTACAAAATTATGCCTTCTGGATCTGAAAGAGAATTCTATATTTCAGTAATGCACAGCATCCTGGTATAACTGGACTGTCCTTATTTTTATAGGTATATCATGTCCTGCCAACAGCAACTACAGCTCATGCACGTCTGCATGCCCAGCATCCTGCAACGACCTGACCAGCCCTTCTGAGTGTGAATCACCTTGTGTGGAAGGCTGTGAATGTCTCCCTGGCTATGTTCTTAGTGGTTTTGACTGTGTGCCTTACAAAGAGTGTGGCTGCACATACCTGAACAAATACTATGAGGTACATACAGTCTCTGTGGCTCAGACAGCTCCTGCAGCACTAAACAGTATTTTCTTCCATTAGTTATTTTGACAATCTCCTCGTAATGCTCAGCATGTAATTTTGCATTAGAAACAAAGAGCAATTGTTTAATAAAATTCTGGTTTCTGGAGAAAGGGAAGAGAGAGGAGATCCCTTGGTCTCCCTCTGAAACTCTGTCTCCCAGAATACTCAAGGCAGGCACTTGAAGAAAGTATATGATTGCACTCTGACCTCCATGTTAATGCCTCAGCTTTATTAGGCTAAATAATAGCCTCATAGGCACTAAAGTTTACAACATACCAGTTACAGAGAAATTCTGTGGGTCACTGTGGTCCCAGTCATCTCAGTGAAGAGTGATATAGGCAGTGTTGAGAGACTGTACAGCTGGGGAGGACATGAAGAGAGCCCTGAGCAAGGCTGGATTCTGAGGAGAATCCTTCATTGTCGCTGCAGGATAGAACAACTTCATTATCTCATATATTTCTGCATTAACACTAGAGATTTGGTACAGAAAAGACCTAAGCCAGTAAACATTTTTTTATTGGAGGAGGGAGACACTATTAGCAGGAGGCACTTTTAATTAATATGGTAGATAGCATTTCCAAATTGCCTTGGAGATATGATGTGATGCATGTGCCACCCTTATCTCCAGCAACAGCTAGATACTGTTGATTGCATATGTACCCCACCTGGGACTAGGATCTCATACCACAAACTCTTCTTTTGCCTTCTTTCTTGGGCCATCCTCTAGTTTCAAAGAGCTGGATTAGTAAACTGCTTGTTTTATTTGTACAAACTAATTAAAAAAAAAAATCTGCCCTGTTGCTATTCATCAGGAAAGTGTTGGAGAGACTATAATGGGGCCCCATGCTCTATTCATGCTTTTTTCCGTCTAATTTATTTGATATTCTTAACATCTCACTGCTGTCTTCCAGATTGGAGAAATATTCACCACTGATGACTGCTCTCAGACATGCCAGTGCACAGAAAGCTCCACTGTTTTCTGCTCTGACACAGCATGTGGGTCTGATGAAATCTGTGGCATCTCCAACTACACTCGTGGATGCTACAGGAGTGAGTCAACCGCTATCATATTTTCTTTGATGCTATGAAGTCTTGACTTATCTTATAAGACATCACTGGGTTGGGGATAGTTTCAAGGGAGTGTGTACAGAAGAAAAGCATGAAGGGGATCTTGCTCTGATGTTTCATTGCAGAAACAGAGTTTCCTTCCATTATTCCTGTTGTCAGATACAAGTAACTGCCTTAGAAAATACAGGGGATGTGCAGCATTAGGAGTCAGTGTAATCTAAGCAAGAACAGCTCTCTCAGTGTTAAATTATCTGAGAATCAAGTATTTCTCCTTCCTTTTCACTAGGTGGACCATGTATGCCAAACCCTTGTCAGAATGATGGTGTTTGCTCTGAAACTACCAATGGCACCTCTCTCCTCTTCTACTGTGAATGTTCAGAGCTGTACACAGGAGCAACGTGTGAGGCTGAAAAGATAGGTAATAAAACTATTTTGGATTTCCCTGTCTGCATTACTCACACCACTTTCAAAAATGGATGTTATTATGTAGAAAACTGAGCTTGGTCTTCATTTTCATTATGTAAATTAGTAACCCAGTGGGTGAGAGCCTGTGGTCATCCAAGCAGAAAGAATTGTCAGATGCCCAGTGGAGAGGTGCCAGAAATCATGACAGCAGGGCTCTGTAGAGCATACAGGATTGGGGTCTGACACCGCTCCAGAAAGCCACATTCATCAGAGAACACAGTGTAAACCAAACACATAGGCAAGGATTGAGAAAAAAAATTCTGTTCATAGTATGGTCAGCTTTCAGTGACAGGGCTCTTATTTCTTCTTCAGCTGAAGACCCTGACACAGAGGATCCCAAGGACTATACATATGCCATCGTCATCGGAGTCGTGGCAGGTGTAATTGTTATTGTCATTCTCATCTCATCTACAGTGTGCCTGTACAGGTAAGGCTTTTTCCCAGCTTTGCTACATTCAAAAGATTCAAAACATATACACCCCTTTTAGCACCTGTAAACCTCAAAATTCCCATCAGTCAAATACCTGCAAGGACCAGAAAGGAACCACAGCACTTGAGATCTCTTTTGACCATTGTTTGACTTCTCACTATAGATAAGAACAGAAATTAAAATTGGTTGTTCTTTTTTTTTTCTCATTGTATAGGAGAAAGAGAAATGTGGATACACATACAATAACAAGGGATTCTTCTTTGAAGTGGTCCAGGGATGAACTGGATGCCAGAGTACACGAGCAAGATTATGGCTGCATCGTGAACAGTGCATTTGATCAAAATGAATCCCAAAATATACAGCTATAGTTAACAATATTTTTCCAATTCATTTATCATACTTTCTGCTCTTGTATTTTAATTATATTTCTACTACTTTGAGAAGAAATAATAATAAATTTATCATTGCGTTTGTTGAAAACCTTTGAAGTTGTGAATTTAAAATATCTCTTGGATCTCATGTTGTAGACCCAAAGTGGAATATGCTCTAACTGACATGAGAGACTGTTGTCTTCAAAGGCTGTTTGAAAAACACAAAGTCCAGACAGAATTTGACAGCCCAAGTGTGCTGCACACCATCACCTACTCACGTCTGAGAGATGTACAAAACTGATGTGGTAGACTGTGGTAGATATGTAGACTGATGTGGTCAGAATTCAAACTGAAAGAGAGTATGTTTATATTAGATATTAGGAAGTAGGTTTAGATTATATTTAAGAAAGAGATTCTTTACTGTGAGGGTGATAAGGCACTGGAAGAGGTTGCCCAGAGAAGTTGTGGCTGCCTCATCCCTGGAAGTGTTTAAGGCCAGGCTGGATGGAGCTATGAGCAACCCGATCTGGTGAAAGGTGTCCCTGCCCACAGCAGGGGGTTTAAAACTGGATGATCTTTAAAGTCCTTTCCAACCCAAACCATTCTATCATTCTATGAACTAATTATAGCATCCCAGGCAGGTCTTCATGAGATCATCCTACCCAAATCCTTCCATGGGACACATGGAAGGACTGACAGGGACACGGTTCTTACTCCTTTTCTGGCAAGGCATATCCAACTGGGGAGAGAAATAATAAAGAAGACACTGAGCTCACCTGAGGACAGACGTAGTAAAACAAATAACCCCCATTGTCCTCCTTGGGAGTGCTGGACTGAAAGAAGTGATTGTTTGAAGGAGAACTGCCTCCTTGCTATTAGGGTGGAGGGGATAAGGGGGAAAAGAAATAGGGTTGTAATCAGTCCCTGTGGGGGCTAAGCAAGACCATAACTTCACAAAAACTTTCTGAAGAATGAGGTCCTGTCATAAATTCTCCTTTGGGGGTCTTTGCCAAAATGGTAAATGTGAGAGTAGATTTGCATCTGCTCAGCCCCAGACCACGCTAAGGACCCCCCTACATCAGGAGAGCAAAGGCATTTGCAACAAGGCCTGGCAGCATGCCATGTGTGAGACACCCACCCCATAACAGACCAGTCACAAAGCTCAGGGACTGAAGCACTGCCTGAGCCTTGTACAAGGCCAGAATGAATTTCCAGTGCTATGAGTGAAGCTTTGAGACATAAAAGAAGTTTCACTGATGTTTTTCCAGTTCACTACAGGTTACCTCCTGATTGTTTAGGAATACTGAGCTTGAAGCTCAGCGTGCAGCTGCAGTGCAAGAGGCAAAGGGCCCTGAACTGGTGCCAATCTTTTACATAACAAAGGGCAAGGGGACCTGTGGCACCAGCCAGGTGAACAGACACTCAGAGACACAGCAGGAACCAGGGACAGCAGACTTTCACACTTAGACTGTGAGGGTATAAAAACCGCAGGGTTTCTTTTTCTGGGGTCCCTCCTTGAAGGCATCCAGCCCAAGCTGCTCTTTTGTTGTTGCAATTTATTTTAAGGGTCCGGGTGTCTGAGACTCTGCTAGGGGAAACCTGGGGTCAAGCCAGTGAGGAAACCTTGTCTGACTGTGTGAGTGTGGGGTGTACAGGGAGTCGAGCAGGGCACCCATTGGCTCACTGGGGCCACCTGCCCTGATGGGCAGTCCCAGCTCAGGTGGTGTGAGTGTGCCTGCCAGAGGGGCTCCTGGGTGGTCAGACAGAAGGGTTTCCTTAACAATGATTACAGTGAGGAACACTGTGGGCCTCCTGTTGTTTCTGCCATAATGCCGATTATTATTTACTTACCCTTTCTCCTTTCCTTTTTATCCATAAACTCATGTGTATTGTTAGCCAGAGAAGTATTTGTAGTCTCCATGGTGAGTTAGGTTATTCTGGTCCATTCAAGGACACACCAGCCTGCTCATGTGGCCTGTTCATACACACAGGCCACAGCTATTTTGGAGAGTGTGTGAATAGAATGGGCCTTTCAACCTCATTACATAATGAAAATGAATCAACGAGAGAGACCTGCTTGTGCACAAATGAACTGTCAACCCTATGATGGAATTTTACCGTGATTATAATGCCATCTGTCCTGCCTCTTCAGTGGCAGCTTCCTATTGCACTGTGTGCCTGCTACAGCACGATTCTGTGACTGCTGAGCAGTGCTGACCACACTCACCTCCCCTTGCACTGGTGGGAGCACAGGCCAGTCTCTGCCCTGCAGGATCCCAGCCCGGGCTCCCCCAGGCAACAGAACCCTGCTGTGCCTGGTAAAGCAGATTTCTGGGTTTCTACATATATATATATATATATATATATATATATTGGTCAATACCACAAGAATGGCCCTGGCTTTCCACTGCAAAGCTTTGCAAATAGTTCAGACTTGAAGTAGGGGGTGATACAGAAAGAACTGCCACTCAGTGCTCCACTACATTAACTAATTCATGTCACTAGAAGCCAGAAAGTTGACAAATCTCCCACAAATAAATCAGCTTGTTCACCTGACTTTTTAAATGCTGGGCTTTGAATACACTGCTGAGTTCAACTCATCAAGAAGACAGTTTTATTGTTAGCGAACCTTCCTTTTTAGCACACTGTGCAGGCAACAGCCAAGGAGACGGCCATACAGGATCAGGATCCCTCTCGGATCAAGACTCTTGCTGGGCACAATCATCAGATTCCGCTGATGTCCCGAAAGAAATGCCTGGGCCGCGTCAAAAAATAAAAACGCATCCTAAAAATCTCTTTGCCATAAAACGACTACATTCTGAGCTCCATCGCTGTTGTTTCTCCTGACAGTAAAGAATTGGAACGGCAGCATATCCTTTCCCTTTCGGAAGGTTTCCTGGTGACGGATGCTCACTCACTGCAAGGCCGCGTAGAAGCAGAACCCCTTCGCGGCTGCAGGAGATGGAAAGGCGGCGGTGGCCCGTCTTCGTCGGGAACAGGACCAGATTTTCCACCCAGCGAGCGGATTAGCCAACACCCTCGGGAGTGGAGCCTCGGGAGGGGCGGGGCGGGACGGGACAGCACGGGACGGGGGGGCTCCGGGATAGGCCTGGCAGTGCTCCCAGCAGGATCTGCGCAAGCGCCTTCTCCTCGCTATTTATAGCGTGCCAGCGGGTCAGGAGTCCGGTCGCGGCAGCAGCGGGACGGGTGGTTCGGTGAGCGGGGCGATGCGAGCGGGCGTCTGCCAGCAGGATGCGGCCCCGTCGGGGGCTGGCGGCGGGCGCGGCTCTGGCGAGCGGCCGGAGGTGTCCCGGAGCCTGGGGACGGGCTGGGCACCGCGGGCACCCCCGGGGAGCTGCGTCCGGCCAGCGGAGCGGGCCTGGTCGTGGCACAAGCCGAGCCCCGAAGGAAGCGCGGGCGGGACGGGAGCGCAGGGACCGGGCGTCGGCGGGGGGAGCCAGGGACGGCGGCGGGGGAGCCGACCTCATCCTCTGGGTGGGAGGGGCGGCCCTTCCGTGCCTTGTCCTGCGCCAGCGGGCGGGAGCGGCCGCCCCGAGCCGGGTCCGGCGCGGAGGGGCCGCCGCTCCGGCAGCTCATGCCCTCGGTGCCCGGCACTAACGCCCTCCGTGCCTGCCGTCCCGGCAGGTGCCTCTGCACACCCCACACCTCCCCGCTCCGCTGGGCCCTGCGCTGAGCCAGACCAGCTGCACCGCCGTGTCCTGACCGAAGGTTCCTGGGATGGCGTATGGCAAGCAGCACCCCGAGCCTGGCGACCTGATCGAGATCAAGCGACAACTTTACCAGCACTGGGCCCTCTACTTGGGGGATGGATATGTCCTCAACGTGACACCTGTAGGTAAGGCTGGTGCAGCCTGGCAGGGTGTAGAGGGGATGTTAACGTGCTTCAGGAGCCCTGTCTCCCTCTGTGGGCTGCTGGTGGACCCACCCTGTATGTGGAGATAGATGACCTTTCCAGGTGCAGCCAGAAACCCATCTGAGGTCTTGGAGGGGCTGGACAGGTTCTGCCTGGCTTATCTCCTTCCTGCCTTTCCCAGATGAAGGGGCCCCATCTCTGTTGGTGAGCACTGCCTCAATATTTACAAGAAAGGCTAAAGTGAAGAAGCAGCTCCTGAAGGAGGTGGTGGGAAATAATGACTGGGAGGTCAACAACAAGTATGACCGCTCCCGCACCCCCCTCCCAGTGAAGGAGATCATCAAGCGTGCTGAGAGCTACATTGACGCAGAGGTGACCTATGATGTGCTTGGCAAAAACTGTGAGCACTTTGTGACAATGCTCCGCTATGGCGAGAGTGTCTCTGACCAGGTAAGTACCATGAGATAAGCCCCTGTGTGCCTCACACAGCACCTCCTTGCTGCTCCCTGTGAGCCCATGGACTGGGACACAGCCCACAGACTGCCTGGGGACAGTCAAGTCCCAGGTGTGGGGTCCAAACCAGCACTGCCTCTGGTCTCACCAGACACCCTGGAGCAGGAGGGTCACTGTGGTCTGTCTGCACCCTGACATTGCCCTCTTACTGAATGCCACACCCAAAGGCTAAAACCCTGGGTGTAACCTCTTCTGCTTATGGAACAGATGTTTCTCATTCTTTTAACTGCCCTGATTATCCCTGCCTGCTTTTCATCAGCATGCCTGAGGGTAAATATTACTTATGATTCTAGCCTATGTTTTCCTTTCCCTTTACAGGCCAAGATAGCAATTGGTAGCATGCTGGCACTAGGAGCTGCTGCTGTTGTCTCCACTGTCTTGGTGGGCTTGCTCAGGGGCAGATCCAGAGAGAAGGAGTACTGACAGCTTGTCAGGAAGAGCTCAGAGCAAGGCAGGGAGCCTCTGGCCGTGGAGGGTTTCTGCCCAGCCTCTGCCGAAACTGCCATTGGGCCTACTAACAACAGCCACTCTGAAATAACCTAATCAAAGCCTTAATAAAATCTGAAAAACCACCAAAATAATATTACCATAAAATCCTCTTCTATGCATT